CTACGTTACCCGACCGTACGGTCCGTACGTACGTACGTCCGTACCGTTACCGTCGTACCGTCCGAACCTTACCTACCTACCACGACAACAACGTAGCTCTCTCTCTCTCTCTCTCTCTCTCTCTCTCTCTCTCTCTAAAACGTCACACCACACCCCTCCTCTCTCTATGCCTTGTAATCCAGCAGTCTCCATGCCAAAAAACCCACACTTCTCTCCCTCTTTCAGCTAACACTGCACAGCCTCCTGTGTGTCCAAAGATCCACTATACAACTTCTTTCTCTAAAACCCAAATTTTCTTGATCTCTCTGCACCTTAGAGCCCAATCCTTCTCTTCCTCTTGTCGAAGTTTTGCACGCTCTCTCTTTCTAGTCTCCTGTCTGTGAACAGCAATTACTAAAAGTCGCAACCACAACACATTTTTTTTGTACTTATTGTGGCTTCCAAGACATGAAGACCGTGAAGATGATTGGTGAGGAACATGATAATGGTCCACTGTACATGTTAGTTAAAGCTTCTACAGCCCTGTCTGGAGAACATGTTGAGCAAGAGGGGAAGTTATGGCATTCACACAGGGGTCACTGCTCAGGGAAGGTCTTGAGTCAGTGGTTTAGTTAATTTAAGTGCGCAGAGTCTCACTTTGGTGTGTGCCAAGTCTTTCAAATAACTAAGCCAAGTCAGTTTCTGTTTCCCAACAATAAGGTCCCATATAATCAACCCTTTCAATTAAAACATTCAGAAGTTTGGAGCCCAGACTCCATTATTTGTCATTCAGGATACAAGTATTTTATCTCCTTTATCAAAGATTGCAGTCGTTATATGTTGATTTATCTTATAAAAAATAAGGATGGGGCATTTAATGTATTTACTGGGTTGCATAAGAATCTTGTTACACAGTTTGATGCCCAAATTCAATTTTTTAGGTCTGATAATCGTATGTGACATTTGTAAATAAGGGCAGATCATTCTATTTTCAAGCAAACAGTATAAAATATCCTGTAATGCAGCTCCTCAAAAGAATAAGGTTGTAGAACGGAAGAACATACATTTGCTTGAGGAGACTCGTTCTCATATAGTTCGTGCATCTGTACCCAAGTCCTACCGGCTTCATGTTGCAGGGTTTAGAAAAACAAAATGCTAGATCATGCCCAGGCGGTGAGACCTAGGCAACCAGGGGGTTCTCACGGTCTAGGCGCTAGACAAGCGCATCAGTTTGAAGGCTCCCAAAACATAACTTTGGCAGGATTAGAATACCCCTCCCTCCAATCCTCTTGTAGTTTAGTAGTTGTTTTTTTTTTTTTATGGTCTAAAAACACTAAATCAAGTTTTGGAGGGTTAGAATAACCCCCCCCCCTCCCGACCAAAAAAAAAAGCAAAAAAAACAAAACCCAAAAAAAAAGTCTGTTTTTTGGGGGGTAAAAAGAAGTAAATTCGTCTTGCCCAAGGGCAATTTCCATCCTCAAACAACGAAGCCTGAGGCAGGTTCCTCAAGGTGCGAGGTGTCACTTAGGCATGCCAATTTGGGCACCCGATCAGGGATATGGAGGACAAGGAAGTCCCCCCTAGGCATATGCATGGCAGGGAGGCCACCTAAGCGCTAGGTGGGTTGTTCTTTTCAACAATGGTATCTTGTATCTGTTGATACCTACCTAATTCACAGGTTGCCTTATTGTACTCTTAATTTTGTTTCTCCTTAAAGATATTGACTGGTTATCCTCTTAGTGTCACCCATCTTCAAGTTTATGGAAGCTCCTGCTTCGTCGATCTTCAAAAGATTTCATGAGATGAACTTGAACTTCATGTTGTCAAATGTACTTTCTTAGGCTACTCTCTACTCATAATTGGTTCAAGTTCTTGATACACAGAAAAACTGACATTATGTATAACCAAATGTTACTTTTCTCGAACATGCCCCTTACTTTTCTCAGGTCCAGTATCTCTACTGAGGAGGAGCACAACGTATCTATCCTTGAGGTGAAGTTAAATTCTACCTCTCTTGTGGAGCCATTTTTTGCCTGTTCTATATGTGAACCTATGTTGCATGGATACGGGTATATGTGTCAATGTAGGACACAGGTTTGGGGTGTCAGATTCTTTGTGGCCCAAAAAGTAGGATTCAGTGACACGGCTATACACACACACATACATGTATGCATACATGCACTTCTTTCCAGTCAAGAAGGTAGATTGACCATCATTTAAAACCTGAAAGGTTATCCCAAGAGAGAATTTGACCACACGACATAGGCTCGTGGTTATGGATGCTTGCCCAAAGAAATGGAAGAGAAAGATTGAAATTAATAGGTGCCCGAAACTAGGTGGTGGAATTTAAAAAAGAGAATATGTACTTATTTAAGGATAAATTGGTAAAAGAAGGAACATGGAATTCTGAGCATGAAGTTAATGCTTTGTGCAATAAGGTGGTTGACTATATTAAGAAAGTGGCAAAAGAAGTTTTAAAAGAAACTAGTGGGAAAAGAAGTTTCAGTAAGGAACCTTGGTGGTGCACTGAGAAGGTTCAACAAGCTATTAGTGAAAAACGATCACATTATAAAGCTTGGCAATGTAATAGAAATGATCAAAACTTAAAAGAATATAAAAATGCTAAGAAAATAGAGAGTAAGGCTAAATAAACTGGGGAAGAGAGAAGGGGAAAAAGATGCCTTCAAACTAGCAAAAATGAGAGAGAGGAAGTGTAGGGATCTAGATTATATTAGATCTATTAAAGGTGAGGATCAGAGGATCCTGGTGAAAGATGATGAGGTCAACAAAAGGTGAAAATCTATTTCAAATATTGTTAAATGACGAACACTATGTAAACACAATGTTTAGGAGGAACCTTTGGCATAAATGAGGGCGGAACTCATAGTTACATTTGCAGGATTAAGATATCTAAAATGAGAGAAGCTTTGAGAAAGATGAAGATAGGAAAGGCTTTAAGACCAGATGATATCTTAATTGCAGTTTGGAAGTGCATGAGGAGATTGACATATGGTGGCTTACCAAGCTATTCAACAAGGTGTTTAGAATAAAGAAAATGTTAGGGAAATGGAGAAAAGGTGTTGTGGTACCTATTTATAAAAATAAAGAAGAGTTACAAAATTTTACGAACTATTGAGGGATCAAATTCATGAGCCACACTACAAAATTGCAGGAGAGTGGTTGAGCAATGACTAAGGCGTGAAAGAGTATATGAGAAAACTAGTTCAGTTTTTTTCTAGGGAGGTCAACTATCGAAGTTATTTTCGTAATTTGACAACTAATTGAGAATTTTGGGAGGAAAAAGACCTCCACATGGTCTTTTATTTCACAGGCATTCTAATCTTGAGATAATTGCATACACAAATATAGATTAGGCTAGTGGCCCAATGTATCATAGATCTGCTATAGGGTACTATACATTGTTAGGGGCAACATAGTCACTTGGAAGAGCAAGAAATAGATTACTGGGCTCATTCTGGAGTAGAGATAGAATACCAGACAATGGCATCCTCCACTTGTGAGATTATACGGTGGTGCACGGCTTCATAAGGATATGCAATCAAGTTGTCATCCAAAATGCCACTAATCAAGTGTTCACAACTGCACCAAACATATAGATGTTAATGGCCACTCTACTCATATGAGAAAGTGACTGCCAAAGTGATTTTTACTTCTCATTCACAATGAAGATCAATTGGCAGATGCCTTAACAAAATTTGTTGAAAGACGATGACTTTTGGCTACTTGTAGCATGTTGGGCATGTACAACATCCACGCAGCGACATGGGGAGAAAGTGTAGAATTATGTAAACATACACAGAATGGGCCTAGTTTTCCGTGTTGCTTTTGATATGTACTCTATGGCAACTGTGGACCTGTCTCTAAATCATTTATAGATGTCCGAAGGCACTAGTTTGAAGTGAATAATACAAACATTAAAAAGGAGAAGTATGTGGCATGATTCTGGTCCTTTCTCCTTTCTGTCACTTAATTCTCTATGTTTACTGTGTTTAAATGATTATAGATTTATATAGGTCCCTTTTTCCCTTACAGGAAAGCATCACTATTTGGAGCAACAGGAAACTGTGAACATATTCAGGGCAGATCAAGTTTAGAAGCATAATTCAAATGAAGATGCAACATGGAAGTGGGTTCCTATTGTTGGCAACATACATCCTTCAGTTATCCAAGGTGGAAAACATGGAAAAACGCATTTAGAAATCAAAAATATCCATCAGAACACTTTAATAGCAGCATAAAAACAGACAACTAAAAGTGACTGAACGATGATAGAAGAAACTTTCAAGAACCATAGAGAGAAATCCAATTGTTAATTGCACATGAGATATAAAATCACACAAATCAGTCGAAACAAATAAAGAGGAAAATCATAATTAAGCAGTAACTCAGACAACATATGGGTCTCATTTCATTTTGGTTCCTGTTTTTCTCGGAATACTAGTACTTTTCTCTATGAATGATTAATAAATAATGGTTGGGCCTTCTCCATGGTCGCTGAATTTCATGAATTTTGGGATTTCTTCTCTGCAACAATATAGTTTTGGAAAACAATGAAATTGTGGGTGCGTGTGTGCGAGAGAGAGACTTAGGTGGAGGTAGAAGTTCTAGAGAGAAAGAGAGAGCATACGGAGCTTGGTGGAGATAGAAGTTGAGGAGAAGCAGCCCAAAACGCAGACGCCATATTCAAATGAAAGAAAACAGGGCACTCTCTCCCTCAGCCTTGCTCTTATATAGACAGTGCTTATGTTGAATGATGATTTCGAGCTGCGATAGATAATAAACCATTCCAGCCACTAAATCGAAACCCAGGTTTTTGTCGTCCGGAAAAAGTGAGGGTCGCAATGGTAGGGCTTAGAAGGGATCGGATCTGATCCAGATCCATTGGGATTTGAATTCGGATCACAAAAATATTCGATGGATCTGGACTTGTGAGATCCAAAATATTCATATCTGGATTCGGTTTTAAACGTACATATAAGACCTGGATCTGGATCTAAACGCACTCAGATCCAAAAAATTATTTTATATTTTATTTTATTTCTATAAAATAATATAAAAATTCAAAAATATTATATGAAATAAATGTCTATATATAACGTATAATATTTCAATAAGTAGGTCGGATCCAGATCCGATAAACCGATACCCATATCCAATTTGAATTATTATTTGGATCCAGATCTGGACAGGGTCCAAATTCGTGTTTCAGATTCAAACCCAATAAATTCTCAACCCTATGCAACGGGCCAAGTGTCCAAACCAGCCTAGCCAACCCCGCCCTAAAAAACTAAGGCGAGGGCCACGAAACTTGGCCTAATAGTTGGGCCAGAACCATGCAACCAAATCTTGAGGGTAAGGCTGGATCGCGCTTGGGCTAAGGTCTATCCAGTTTGTTTTGTTTTTCTCTTTTGTTTATTTTCATTTTTGTGTGGCATGGGTTGCCCCATAGGACAAGGGTCGAGCATGAGTGACCCAATGGGCAAGGGCCCAATAGGAACTAGAGCTGACGAGGGCTAGGGGAGGCCCAGCCCATTGCCACCCCTGTGAAAAAGATATAGATGGGTGATGCTAGCGATGGTCGCTCAAGACCACCCTTGCACATAGTTTTGTGCCCAAAAAGAGGAAAATTTAGGAACTACTAAGCCCAATTCATTTTTTTACATTGACATTGGTCATCATCATCATTACTATAGCCTTTTATCAATATATTGGGGTTAGCTACACGAATCATGGTCCACCATTCCTCTTTATTAAAGGTCATATCCTTAGTGAGGCCATAAATCCCTTATCTTTTCGAACTACTTCCAACTACATCCTTTTGGCCCTACTTCTTGCCCTTTTTAGTCCTTCTACTTGAACTAACTCATACGTCGTAACAAGTATTGTACATGATCAGCGCGACACATGGCCAGCCCACCTAAGTCTACTCTCTCTCATCTTATCACCTATTGGTGCCACACCCAAATTCTCTCAACTAGATTCATTTTGAATTCTATCATTTCTTATCTTACCACTTGTCCATCTCAACGTTCTCATCTCCGTTACACTCATTCTATGGGTATATTGTTTTTTATCAGCCTAACATTCTGCCCCATAAAACAAAGTTGATCTTACACATATCCTATAGAACATGCTCTTCAATTTCATTGGTATGCGACGATCACATAAAATTCCAATTGTACATCTCCACTTCGCCCACCCAATTTTGTGTGTGACATCTTCTTCAATCTCTCCATTTTATTAGATTATCGACCTAAGATATCAAAAGTGTGGTCTTTTTTATACTTTCGGGCCGTCAATCTTAACTACTTCCTCGTCTCTACTCCTACTATTACTAAACTTACGTTCCATATACTTTGTTTTAGTCTAGTTAATTTTAGAATCTTTGGATTCTAGAGCATCCCTCAAGAGTTTTAACTTTGTGTTGACATCGTTTCAGGTCTCATTGATCAAAACTATATCATCTGTGAGTAACATGCACCACGATACCTCATCTTTGTGGGTTCCTAATTAAGTCGTTCATAACTAAGACAAAGAGGTATGCCTTCAGTGATGACTTGATGTAGATTTATTGTCATTGAAAACTCACTCGTCCATTCACTAGTTGTTCATATACTAGTTAACACTCCATCGTATATATTTCTCTCCAAGTCTATGTTATGTCTAGATACTTATTTTTTTTCCAACACCTATCAAATTAAATCTCGAGGTATTCTATCATAAGCTTTCTCTAGATCAATAATGACCATGTGGAGGTCTTTTCCCTTTGTCCTAAACTTCTCAATCACTTGCCTAAGTAGAAAAATAACTTAAGCTGAAACCATATCGATTTTCAGATACACTTGTTTCATGCGTAAGTAATTGCTCAATCATTACCTCTTAGAGCTTCATAGTATGGTTCATAAGTTTGATCTCTTGATCGTTTACAAAATTTTGTATGTCTCCTTCGTTCTTATAAATATGTACTACAATACTTTTCCTCCATTCGTCTGGCATTTTTTGTACCAGTCAATGCCAATCTCCCACATACAATTCCAAACCTCTATCAGGATACCATTTGATCTTAATGCCCGTTTCTATCTTTTACTTATGAATTCCTAATCCTACGAATATATCTATGACGTCTGCCTTCATTTGTACCAACAGTTGCTTCTATTGCTATGTTTCCATTGTGTTCGCCATTTAATAATTTTTGAAAATATACTCTCCACCTTTCGTTAACCTTTGTCATCCTTCATCAAGACCCTTGATAATCACTCTTAATGCATTTAATATGGTTTATATTCTCACTTTTTTTCTCACTTATTTTTGCCAATTTGAATACATCTTTTTCACCTTCTCTTGTTCCCACTTATAATATAAATTATCATATGCCTTAAGTTTAGCTTTACTTAGTATTTGTTTTCATTGCACTCTCAAATTTTATAACTAATCCCACTAAAAACCTCAAAATTCATCTAGTGATTATTAGATGATTTGTAAAATTTCATAATAAAGAAATCCCCGTCTTTTGACTGAGGAAATAGATATACAGTAATGCTCCTGTAGAAGCATAGTATGCACGTTCCAAAAGATCGCCCCAACCATATTCGGGAACCGATGAGATGTACTGACCATAGTCCGGCAAGACTACTAAAACTATTTGTAGGGATAGTGAGATTGTCACCTACTCATGCAACACAAATCATTTTTCATTTTTTTATGACTTGAAATCTTTTTTTTTTCCATAGACAGTATCTTGGTATTCAGATGATCAATTATAGGGTTTTCAATGCCAAAAGAACACTTTCAAGTGGGTTTTAAGGTGCACCTTATTTCTACAGTATAAGATTAACACGTCATATGAACTTTTTTGCAACTAATATTTGCTTAATCTATCCCAAAACTAAAATAACTTAATTAAGTACGCGATGAGTGCCATGGAACGAGTGTAGGAAAATTCAGGTGATTCTAACTGCCTAGTTAGATTGCATTTAGATTGGAACTGGCCACTGACCGGTTCTGGTTTCAACTAGTTTTGGCGAACCAACTAGGTATTTTAAAAGCAATTCAAAAAATTTATATAATATCCTAAAAAATAAGGGATTTTGTTTGTAAGGTATTTTTTAATGTTTTTCATCGTTTTGTAAAATATTGGAAATAGTTTTGGTTATTAATACTTATTTTATATTTTCCCATATTTTTTTAAAAAAATTCAAGAATACCCCTGGGCACAAATCAATTCTTTAAAATCCATTTTTTGTCATTACTTTTCAACTTCATTCGGATGTGCTTTTTTTACCCATGCTTTGTTTAATCATGCTTTAAATAATCTTTTAATATTTTATTAGATTTTTTGTATTATTATTTTTTTTATATTTTTTTGGCCATTCAGGATTTGCCGAACGGTTTATCAGTTAGGCTGGGTGAACCGCTACCAGCCCCATATATGGTTAACCATTCCGGTTCAATTTTTCCTACACTGCATGGAACTACTTGTACCCATTATGAACACTTTTACAACAAATGACAATAAAGGGATTATTCTAAAGTAGTGACCCTACTATGACCTCAACAAGCTAAATAGCCAAAAACTGAAGTATTCGCGAAGCAAAAGTTCACTCGAGCTAACTTCACTCCTAAGCGAAGCCACCTAGAACAATTGCCACCAAAACAACATATTATCTTTTTAAAATAAAATGAAAAAAAAAAAACCAAAAATATTATGCTCCCATAGGAATACACAATCTATTTACTCCCTCAAGCAAAAACTCATGTAGGGATTAATTTTAGAAGGCCAAATTTTGAGGATGTAACCTCTTCATCAATAATAATAATAATTCCCAATTGTACCCTCTATGCACTTGAAAAAAAAATTGTCTCAAGATTTTATAGAGGTCTTCTAAGTTTTAGAGGGTGAGATAAAAGTGTTAGAAAACTCAAACTTCAAATTTTTTCTTTTGAGAAAAATTGTTTGGTGATTCTTAGGTGGTTCATAAAATTTTAGGTTGAAAAAATAAACACGATATTCATTGTTTTAGATTTTAAAAATAATTTTGACTGTAGTTTTTCATTACAAAGAGTCACGGGATGCTTGCACTGACTTCAAAAGAACGGGTACTCATTGGCACAGGAAATACATGTGTAAAAAATCCCATAATTGCACTCTCAAGATAAACTTTTGGGAAATACAGTGGTTAAATATGATTTTCCTTTTTGGGTAAAAGTATTGGGGATACAATGGCCAAAATAAAGAGACATGTATTGGAGAGAAGATTAAAATTGGAAGACAAATTGCAGCCTACATATCATGATTAAAACTCGAAGAGGCAAGTTTTGGAGATCCAAAATACAACTTTCGATCCGAAGAAATGACGTTTTTGTAGATTTTGAATCTCATTGTCTATGTATGAAGGAAGCCACCATGGGCTTTTCCTTGTCACTATAGAAGAGTCCAAAAGAGGCAGTTCTATGAACCGCCTCATCAATTGGTAGAAACATCCAAAAGATGTGCGAAACTGCTGCACCAGCAAGAGAGAATGCCAAGATGCTGTGATAATGGTGCGCCAAGATGCTCGACTTCAATTTATGTAAAATGAGCTTGGACAGGTGTCACAAGGGACTATGATGATCAACCAATATTTTTTTGAGTAAGTGACGATCAGCCAATACTTCACAAAGGTAAAATCTTTGTCCCATGGGATTTCAAAACTTGATCTAGAATCTTGGATTAGGGACACCAGAATGAGATGTATCATCATCAGAGGCTTAAGACCGAATACAATGGGTTCATGAAGGCCATCAGAGGATGATAGACACATCATACTCTTTTAGAGTTAGAAAGTCCATTGACGTTGGCCAGACAGATAGCCGACATATCTGTAAAGGACGAAGAGGAGGCCCTCTTTGCATGAAAGAAGACATTAGGGGTTTCCCAAACCAACCAAAAGAGAAAGGGCTCCCAACTAGGGGGAGCCAGATGAGGCAATACCAATGTAGATCAGTGACCAAGGAAACCCCTGACGATACATTGAGTGCTACAATTGTGGCAAAAAGGGCCACTTTACTCTTGAGTGCTAGTCAAAGAAAAAAAAGTTAGCTAAAGGAAATACAGTAACTACAACAAGTCACCAAGAGGAGATAGAAGAAGATTGGGATGCACAAGCATCCTTCGTAGTAACTGAAGAAATAGAACTGACGAGTTCGAAACTAGCCGACTATCAGACAATCGATACAAGGATATGGCCATCAGATGAACCTGAGGAACTAGCGCTCAACATAGTCTCTAGCTCTGAAGGCATCAATTACAATAAAGATTGGATTGTAGAATCAGGATGCTTAAACCATATAACTAGCGACAAAGGTAAGTTCCTAAATTTGACTAAGTACAAAGGAGGCAAAATTGTGGTTAATACTAATAATACAAGGCTGTCAATCACCCATGTCGGAAAGGCTATATGTATGCCTCGATTCAGTATAAGAGAGGCCCAGTTATAGGACGTATACCATGTGCCAAAAATGAAGAAGAATTTGATGTGAGTATCACAACTAACAACAAGTAGTAACTTTGTCGTGTTTGGTCCAGATGATGTAAAGATGTATCGAAGCCTAAAGTTGCCACACCAACCGATTATGGAGGGCCGACGACTGGACTCTATCTACATGATGTTATCATAGTCATCTTATGTACAAAAAGCCCAAAGGAGTGAGGTTGTTGATATCTGGTATGCTAATTTAGGGCACGTGGGCTTCAACAAGCTAAAGATTATGATGGATCGATCAATGGTGAGGGGACTTCCTTAGTTGGAAGTCCAAATAGATGTGTGTAGGGGCTATCAATTTGGCAAGACTCATCGACAACCATACATTGAATCAAACTATCATTCTAAAAGGCCGCAGGAGATTGTTCGCTCAAGATGTATTTGGCCCAGTAAAGCAACACTTAGTCAGAGCCATGACGTACATGCTTACTTTTATAGATGATTGTTTAAGGTATGTGTGGGTGTAGCTAATGAAGGAAAAGTCAGAGGTCTTTGAAAAGTTTAGGGATTTCGAACAAAAGTCGAGGGGGAAATTGGCCAGAAGATTCAGTGCTTACGCATTGACAATGGAGGAAAATACACATCGACAGAATTCTCAGCCTACTTATAGAAGGCTGTCATTCGACGCCCTTTAACCGCTCCCCACACTCCACAACAAAATGAAGTAGCTAGACGAAAGAATCGACACCTGGTTGAAACATGCAGAAGTATGTTGCATGCTAAAAATGCGTCAGGCAGATTTTGGGGAGAGTGTATGAAGACAACGACGCGCATTATCAATAGGCTACCTCAACTAAAATTGGGATTTATCACACCAATGAGGGAATTTGGAAGATCAAACCCACTATAAGTTATTTTAAAGTATTTGATTGTATATACTATGTGCTTGTTCCATAAAATTTGTACAATAAAGTAGAGAAAAAGACAGTACGATGCATATTTGTGGGATATGATGTCGAAAGAAAATGGTGGAGGTGTTGTGACCCCACAACTAACCGATGCTATATGTCACGGGATGTGGTATTTGACGAAGCATCATCTTGGTAGATTCTAGAAACTACAAAAGTATATGATAATGGAGAAAAACAAAATTGAAGACTGAGGAGACTCTAGAAAGAGAGCATGAGGAACAAAACTAAGAGAACGAGATGCACCATAGCCCACCAATCACACCAAGAAGATCTTCCAATGGAGAGATGGTGCCCTCTAGACAAGGACACTTGAGGAGGCTCAACCAAGTCCACTAGAAGAGGTCACTGAAGAGCCTCAATTACGACGCTCAATCGGACTAATAAGAGCAAATCCTAAATATGTGGATGCTGCACTAGGCGAGGTAGATGATATTTGAGAACCGGTCTCATACGAAGAGGCCAGTCAAAGTGCAAAATGGCAAAAAGCTATGGAGGAAGACATATTTATACTAGAGAATAACCAGACTTGGGATCTAGTTCTTAAGCCGAAGGAGGCCCATCTCTTATCTATGGGTAAGTAAAGACTCGTGTCGATGGGTTGATCGAAAGATATAAGGCCAAACTAGTCGCCCATGGCTTTTTACAATAATATGGGATCGACTATGAGGAGACTTTCAGTTTTGTAGCCAAAATCATGACAGTACATGTACTGTTT